GGCCCGGATGGGCTGCAGTGGCATGCAGACTGCAATGTTGTGAATAGAGAGGAGGACATCACATACAGTACTGTATGTGATGTCCTCCTCTCTATTCACAACATTGCAGTCTGCATGACACTGCAGACCATCCTGGCTAAAACCAGAAAGTCTGGATTAGATCTAGAACAGACTTTTTTTCTTCTTATAACATTTGACACAGTTCAAAAGGTCCCACAACATTCAGTGTTAAAAGACAGGTGACAGGACAGGAAGAAACTAAGCACTGATCTTCAACATAATGTGTCACTTTCCTGCTGGAAGAGATTTACACATCTATGAAGATTGTTATATAATTTACAGAAGCAGATTAGGAGTGATGGTTACAGCTGGGTAAATCACTACAGTGACTCAGGTAGAGTAATAAGTGACAATTCTTTGACTTTTCAAATACTGCTGAGAACCCGAAGTTAGAACCAAGTCTGAAGACTGATGTCAAAAACATGAAAAAAAAAAAAACTCATTGTGTATATCTGCATACGCTGCATATGTAAAAGTGACATTTGAAGTAAATTCACAGGAATGCGTATAATAAGCTGACACGTTGTTTGGTAGGTTACTTAATTTAATAGGAGGGAAGGGCAAGGCCATGCCCATGTGCAGCAGCACACACTTGTCTCACTGGGAGATTATTCGGAAGAGTGCTTTAATGGGTCTATCAGCACATACAGTACACAAATGCCCAGGAGCCATGGACATTTATAAGCAACTGTGAAAGTGACCTTTTGTCTCATCCAAATGGGTTTTCTTAATTTTTTTTTTTTTTACTTATGTACGTACTGCTCATCTTTCCATCTTTGAAAATGTAGTTACGGTATTTTAATGCACTAAATGTTCTGTCAAAGCTGCATTAATCAACATTTTTATGTGAACAATGTGTTAGGTGTAATTGCCAAAAGTGTCACTTGTAGTGACAAACCCACACAAAGCGGCACACATCACCAGGCTAAACCTTTAGTGCATCATTTTAGTTTTCCAGCCTGTAATGTCACTATTTGGGATCACACGCTCCACCCTGATTAGTATCATTTCATATACAGCAGGCAGATGTAAGCAGCAGACAGACAATCCTAGTGACTTACTGTAAATAGAAGAAAGGTTAGCAGCTGAAGAGAGAGCTATTTCCCTCAGAACAGTGGCGACCAGTAGAGATAAAAGTAAATATTGGACTTGTGTTCACTGGGGGGCAGAAACATTACTGTAACCTCAGGTCATAAAGTGTCACAGTTGTGTTTACAGCTTTACCCAGAAACAAAATGGACCCTTGTAGAAAACTCTTTTTATATTCCTCAAACTATAGAAATAAAATTCAAAACCAGATTAAATCCTATTTATTTCCAGGTCTAAATCACATGTGGTTTTCAGTCTCAGCCCTCATCAAGACACATGAGGAGGTCAGCTGAGGTCAAAGTTAGACAGCCAGTGAGCATTCCACCCCTCCCGCCCTCCTCCTCCTCTCTCACTGCTTGTTCGCCCTGTGACGGCAGTAGAAGTCTCAGTGGCAGCACTCCCATGTCATTACTCAAACTGCAGATAACAGGCACTTCATTAGGACAAAGCCCTGTCAATGCTTGTCGCATAACTGCTGTGACTCTTCTGTGACCAAATGCTGATCGAAGCTCCGCTACTGAAGGTGACTGACCTTTCTGTAGCAAAATCAAGGGGCTTCATGGGAGCTCATAGTCTGATGTGGCTGCTACCTTGCAGAGCACTGATAAATTGAAGAAGCAATGATCTTTCACATATAGTTTTTTTAAAGGATCCCAGAAAACAAAAATGTCACCATATGGAATTTTTTGCAAATTATACTTATTTTGTTGCAAAGTAATGGGCTAAGAACCTTGCTATAGGAAGCCACAGGGAGGGACAAAGTCGAACACACATTTAAATCAGTTCTGTAAGCAGAGGACACACCGAGTCACAAAGGACATCTGCTCTTTTGTTGTAAGGAAAGAGCAAGATTGTTAGTATTCAACAGCGCTCCCTCCCTCTCCCCTTTTTCTTGCTCCCTGGTGTCCCCTACCTCCGTCTCTGCCCAACACCAAGCATAGCTGCTTTGTTCCCTTGTTGCTCTCTCTACTTACAAGATTGAGGTGATTGCAGAAGAGAAAGGAGGTCCTGAAATTTCTTATTAACGCTAATGAATCATTTCCATGCCTGGACTGGCATCTCAATATAGAACTACAGGAGATTTATAGCACCCAGGTGACCAGGTGTGACCCCATTTCCAAAATTCAGTGCTGCTGTATTATATTTGTTGAATGAGGAGATCCAGTGTCAAAATTTCTGTCCCCTTCCTATGTAACAACAAGCCTGTAACAGAGATGGGTTTGTCCAGTGAAAAATCATCTGTGGCCAAATGTCTCTCTTATAAAGAAAACAATGAAGTAACAACTCTGAAACAGTCATTGAAAGATTTCCCTATAGAGGGGAAATCAAAAAACAAATGTGATGTAAATCAATAGATCTAGGCTTTAACAAAAAGCAAAAGCTCAGTCTTGTTCTGAAAATGCAGAATGCACAGTACACATTTTAAAAGGAACAGCTCCTTCCTGGCTGCTCACTTAATCAGGTGTTTATGATCACAGGTATTTTTAATGCATTTGACTTTAAGACATCCTTAGGAAAAATCTTAGAATATAGTCCCTTTGCTTGAAACAAACCATTAATCAGCCACATCTCAGAGTTGAAAGGCTGAAAAACGTCTCTTATCTGGTGTCAATCCTCTTCCAGTGTGACATTTAAATGTTAACTACACAGTTTTGCACCAATAACAGACAGACAAGACTGAAACATGAACTGAATTTTGTGCAGCACAGTTTATTTGATCCTCAGAGACTGTTATTACTTCAGGGTGGTGCAGTGATTAACGCTGTCACCTCATAACAAGAAGGTTGTGGGTTCAAATCCTGACCTGAGCCTTTCTGTTTGGAGTTGGCATGAATGAAGGCTCTAATGCATAAGTAACATCTGAAGTTTGTACTTCTGTAGCCACAATGATACTTTATTGATCCTGAGGGAAATTCAGGTGTCCAATAGCAAAAGCAATAATTGCCAAAATCACAAAGTAAAGAAATTACAGTAACAGTAGTAATTATACAGTATATATGCTGTACATGTACATAGAATGTAACCAATGAATGTAAATACTGTGATAAATGTCTGGATCCACCCATGAATAAATTCTGTCACACTGCACTTCATGATTACCAACTGTGTTTGTATTTCTCACAGGCTTCCTGAACCGATCTGAGGCATTCCAGACCAGAAAAACACAAAATAGCTACAAATCTCTTCCTGACGTGCCTGTAACAGAGAATGACAGATGATTTTCTTAAGAGCCCCCAGTGTACGATGGGCACTTTTCTTTTAGATGAATCATTAAAATGGTCTCAGTGTCAACACAGGAGCACAGACCATTAATAAAAAACTGTAGTTTTTAGCGAGTGGAATGGAAACATGAAGCTGTTGACTGTGTGCAGTGCAAGGCTAAAGGTAGCTAGAGGCTTGAGGTGATTTCTGTGGTTTCATAAGCAGATTGGTTTCTTTTGTCCCAAGAGGCTGTGTGGTTGCACTGGTTAATGTGTCAGAGCGGCTCAGCCTCCTGCGTGGAGTTCAGGTTATGATCCTGACACAGTGCTGAGCCCGGGAGCACACAGAGGCCAACCAACAACCCCTTACAGTTAATACGAGGCTCTCTCTATCTATATAATGCTTCTAATTAACATAGCACTGTATAGGTTTAAAATGATTTCTGTTATGTTTTCATCAAATCCACACAACTGCATGTACAACAGTTTGTACCACTACAATAGGCTTTTTATGTAGGTCATTGTTAGACCATTTAAAATCTATA